TGCAACACGTACACTGCCATAGCTCCATACATGCCATCGTTCGAATCTAGCACGCCACTGATGCAAAGAGCGGAGGACAGCGAAGGAGTTATGCCCAGCCGAAGCCAGGATATCTTGGTACGTATGCTGCATCTCCCACTTTGATAATCGTAGACTCTCACGATCCAACAGTCATCGTGTCCGCAGCTTGATGACTCAAAACAAAAAGCAACACATACACTGCAATAGCTCCACCCATCCCCTCGCGCGAATCTAGGAAGCCGATGATGCAAAGAGCGAAGGATAGCGAAAGGGTTAAGCCCAGCCGAAGCCAGGATATCTTGGTGTGTATGCTGCATCTCCCAATTTGATCATCGTAAAGACCCCAAAGATCCAACAGTCATGGTATAAGCAGCTAGATGACTCAAACAAAATAGTAACACATACACTGCCATAGCTCCACACATACATGCCCTCGCCCGAACCTAAGAAGTCACTGATGCAAAGAGCGGATGACCGCACAAGGGGCTAGTTCAAGACCAGTCTTTGCCAGCATATCTTGGTAACACTGTATGTATGTATGCTGCATCAGATGATCTCCCAATTTGATAATCGTACACTCCCAACATCCAACAGCCGTCGTGTCCGCAGCTTGATGACTCAAACAAACTTGCAACACAGACACTGCCATAGCTCCACACATGCCCTCGTCCGAACCTAGGAAGCCACTCATGCAATTAGCGGAGGACAGCGAAAGGGTTACGCCCAGCCGACGCCAGGATACAGTGGTATGCTAGACTACAACATCTCCCAATTTGGCAATCGTGCACTCCCAAGATCCAACAGTCATCGTGTACGCAGCTAGATGACTCAAACAAAATAGCAACACAGACACTACCATATCTCCACACATGCCCTAGCCCGAACCTAGGAAGTCACTGATGCAAAGAGCGAAGGACAGCAAAAACGCTAAGCCCAGCCGAAGCCAGCATATCTTGGTATGTATGCTGCATCTCCCAATTTGATAATCGTACACTCCCAACATCCAACAGTCGTCGTGTCGGCAGCTAGATGACTCAAACAAAATAGCAACACATAACATACACTGCTATAGCTCCACGAATGCCCGCGCCCGAACCTAGGAAGTCACTGATGCAAAGAGTGGAGGATGTTGGTATGTCCGTACTTGGGAGGAGAAGACACGCTTGAACTCTCTCTGATTAGGCACCCGCGGGAGCGAGGAAAGGAAGGGAAGAAGTGACCCTCCCGAATTCGGGGAAGGGGGCCCACACATAGTAAACAACATATTCGCCTGATTGAGAGCGTAGCATCTGATTGAGAGCGAGATTGCGCGATACGCTGTAGCCGGACTACCACTGAGAGGTGGAGCTTGCTGTGTAGCTTGAATTGAAGGGCTAGCCCGTAGCTTCAAGCCGCTACCCTGGTCATCCTGTGGGAGTCTCTCGTTGTGGAGCTACAGCGGGGAGCAGAAGCTACAGCAGAGCCCACCGCCC